TGGGGGGTTGGGTTTTTTTTGCTGAGCTTCAGAGAAGTCTGAAGTCACACAGTTTAGCCATGATTTTGCTCTTAACACAGATTTTTCCATATTTGGTTATGGTTTGGAGATATGCTAGTCCGTTTTCACTTCGTATTATTTTAATGCACCATAACATTATGCACAGTGCATGCTTAATTGTGCTACATAAGTCAAGCTTACGTCAGGTCATAATATGCCCTGTTACTCATAGCTTGTGCTGTACACAGCCTATGATGCACTTATGGACTATACCTCTCCATGGCAGTTCATGGATGTTGGCATATTGGCAGTCCATCTTTGTGTCCCCAACTGTGCTCATAGTCTGGACAAAGTGTACCTTGTTTGAAATACAGAAGCTGTGAGTAAGGGTGATTGGTGCCATATATTATGGTTAAACATGAGTGAAGTCCATGGTCTTGCAGATATTTCAGGCAGGCAGGCAGTCAGTAATGCCTTCATGGTTCAGGATTTTTGTGTACAGATTAGTGATACTTACAGTTTAAGCATGGCTTTCTCAGGGAGGTATCTAATATTCTGAATCTTCTTTGTGTCTTTTAGAAAACTGTCTCTGCTGAGTGGCACATGCTTTGGGAATTATTTCTATAAAGCCTTATAGGTCTTCAGTGAGAGTACTATACTTTGATAAGATGCCTTCACCAAGGTTACTTTTATTTGCATATCTTAGGGAATCTGTAGTGTTATCTGTGTGGTATATTTTTTCCCCTAAAGCTTGTATGGAAAGGATTTGATGATGTCTTTGAATTGAAGAACAACTGTACAGGGACTCCCTGAGTTCTTTATAATAGTTAGTGTCTAGACCATCACAGCTAGAACTGCTCTCCAACCCTACTACTAAGTAAAAAGGACAGCCAGTACCTGTGAGCTAAGTGTGGCTGACTGTGTGTGACTAAGCAAGTGATGTACATGTTGCTTACTGCCCTGAGTACAAGTACAAACACTTTAGTGATATAGGAGAAAGGATGAGCATCTTGGTGACTGAGTATGCTGTAAGACCCCGACATTACAATTAATCAATTTTTTTCCCTCTAAAAAAGGAAACACAAACAATCAGCAGTATTAAAACCTAAGAAAACAGAAAAAAAAGAATTGAGAGAGAGAATGAAATTGGCCATTCCTCAGATTTTTTTTTAAATAGGTCAGGTATGACTTGACATTGATGCTGACCCCAGTGGAAATCAATATCTCTATATTACTTTGTGTGCTGAAGTACTGGCACAGAATTCATCAAGTTAGTTTGTTTTTTTAGCTGGATTAGAAGATGATCTGAAGTGAGCTGCTTGAAACTTCAAGACATAATAGACTTGAAATTTATTCAGTTAAAATATAAAGGCTTCAAACAAACATTACACTGAAAAATTTGGGGATTAGATCAAGTTAAAATAGGCTCTGTCTAACTCAGTGATTAGATAAGTGTTAGGTGCCTGATCTAAGGTGGGTCAGGATAGGGGGAGGAGTAGGTGGGGTTGGGAGGGCTATTGACATCCTTTGGGAGGTTGGGGGGATTGACAGCTAACAGGGTCTGTGGGGGGTTGGAGAGATTGGGAGGCTAGCAAAGTCCTCAGGGGGGCTTGGGAAGATGGGGATATTAGTGGGATTGGAGAGCCTTTGGAATACCAAGAAAATGTCCTGGACCCCTCCAGCTCCTCCTCTCTGATGCTGCTGAACTGCCCCATATCCAACAAACTGCTCTCAGTGCCAGTTTTACCATCATTCACTGGTACCAGTTGAAGTAAGTTGGAGGTGGGGGAAGCATGGGAAGATTGGGGGGGAGGTCTGGCAGCTTCATGCAGGGGTTGGCAGTGGTGGGCTGTAGCAACTTCATTCCAGGAGTTTGTGTGGCCCAGGGGAGTTGACAGGATCAGGGGGCTCTATCATTCCCTTCCCCCCGCCCCCCGCCCACCAAACAAGGACTATTTTGAGTTCCAAACCCACTCCCTGGACAAACAACCTCCCTTGCAAATCAACCCCTCAATCCCACTTGTACATCCTACTACCCTGACTTTCTTCAGTCAGCTCCCAGAATCAGTAAATGCTGGTAAAACTGGCACCAAGAGTAGCTTGTGGTATTGGGGGAAGGAAGGTTGACAGGCTTAGGTGGGGTCCAGAGGGGACAAAGTTGTCCATTTGGGGGCAGGGGAGATACCAGGGGGCTAAAAATAGCCTGGTGGCAGGAGAGATAGGAAAAATGCAGTCTTGGGACTGGATCAAATGACTGGGCTTTCCCAGCCTTGGGGTGTGCTTGGAATGTGTACAGAAGTTCAGTTAGATTGGTTTAACTGCATCTGATCTGACTTAATGCACCTCTAAGGTACAATGAAATTAAATTAGGTCAGTCATTTTCTGCCTGATCTAACCTTCCTGGAACTTCTGTACAGTTCACACTAAGATCAACCTAATTAGGGATCAAAGTGTAAGGTCCATACAAGGATGAACTAAGTTTGTTTGGGTGGCCAATTTTAATGTAATCTAACCTCTCCTTAACTTCCTCACCTGAAATGTAGTCAGCTTCTCTGCCAATTCTTTTTAAAGCCACGATTGTGGATTTACAGTCATGTTTATGACTTATGGAAGGGCTGAGGGGTTTTTGTTTGTTTAGAGACTCAGCTGAAAGCCTTGCCCAAACAAAAAGGCAAACTGATCTGTGTATACTGTTTTTCTTTCCCAAGTAGAGTTAGTAAAAGTGCAGTAAAAGATACATATAGACAAACTCAAAAAATGAAGATTCTCCAGTCATAAGGTCCTTTTAGTTAGCTGTTTGTTGAATACTATTAGGCAGAAATATATTAAGACATAGGAAGGTTGTGTTTCCATGTCCCCCAGTCCCCCCCGAAGTTTGACAGTGCCTGTTTTAGAATTTTGAGAATGTTAAATGAATTGGATGATGTATGTTGAGAATTATGCCTTTTGAATATTTTGTTTTATCCAAATGTTTGCCTTGCTCTTTGTCTCTTTTTGTTTTCTTTTTTTAATATGTACATCTTAAATTACAAAGTGACAAAAAGAAGGATCCAAAATACAATTTGATTTTGCAGAAGAGTGGGAAGTTTTATTAGTGTTGAAAAATTTTAATTTGTTCAAGGGATGTTTTGTCTAGCATTTAAAAAAAAAAAAGGAAACTACTTTCTGAAGCCTTCTGTGTGCATTACATTTATTGAGGAGAAGGGGAAATTTCACATCTACCAGAATTCCAGTTTCAAAACCATAATATAATACACACTGGTTTATAACATAATATATTATACTATAGCTTTCATTCTGTACAACTTTAAAAGTTTTTCTTTTAATTCCAAGGCTACTTAGCAAATGGCAGAAGACATTATAAACTGCTTGAATCCCTTCCATAGTTTACTCTTCCTTCACCTCACCAAGGTTATGTTCCTTGTCTTGCTGTTCATGGCTTTAAACAATTCCTCCTTTTTCTGTCTCTTGGCTCCTTTCCTTTCCTTTCCTTTCCTTCCCTTGATTTCTCCTCCCTTCTTAATCCTGTTTCTCCCCCTGTTGACTTTATTCCCCACAATGGCATCCCTTTTTATTATGTTTCAAGTGAGTTTCTATTCCTTTTAATCTTACTTTAATTTAATTTCACTATCTAACCTTTCAGTTCTGATTACCTATAACTCTACTTCTACCCTTATGGTGAGTTGTTTTATTATTTATGCTGCTGTATCCTAATTAGATTGTATGTTCTTGGAGCCAGGAACCTTGTCAAGCCATTTGCCTTTAACGCCTCAAATGCACCTATGATAAATAAATTGATTAGCACTATATAGTGATGGTAATACTAAGTACAGCTAATAAAATGGGTAAAAATGAAACCATTCTCTCCTGCTCATTCTCCACTTTTGCAGAAACATTTTTAATTATTATTGCTCTAGCTTTTGTAGCCATATTACCAATCACTGAAAGCAACTTAATGAGTTTTTAATTTTTCCTGGCAATAAGCTTCATGGCTGACATGTTTTTGTAATTATATATGTTTTAATATCCAGTGCTAATATTAGTCAGAGAATCTTTTAAAGCTTTAAATGAAAATCTATGGGAGAGAAAGTGCACAAAAAGGTCTATCTTATCCATTTTGTATTAAACAACATTCTAGACTTAAAAATATGTTTCTGTCCTCAGTGTTTTATGAAGCACAGTTATCATGTAAAGCAAAAATATGCCATTATCTAATTACATGAAAACCATGAAGGTTCACTTAAGGGTCAAAACATGTTGTTACTTATTGTACAAACTTGTACCATGTGACTCAATGTAGATTATCCCTGTAGAAGATGCAATTGTCTGATGTTTTTTACAAGTTTTCTGGCCTGGCATAGGTCATATTTGCAAGAATATTCTCCTGGACCTTTTCTGTTTTTAGTTACAGATTTTAAAAAGAAGCAGTGAAAGTTCAGGGGGAAAAGTCTTGGAGGGACAGTAGGAAGAGAAACCAATATTCCCAATACTGTGTTTGTGAACTGTTGCATATGCTTTGTCTTATTATTTTTCTGAAGTTTTGAAAAAAAAAGGTGGCTACGCCATATGGAAAAGTTTGTGGAGCTTTGTTTTATCCTTTGAGTTCTTAATAATGTGTTTTGATTAATAAGTGGATGTGGAAGCCAAGAGATGGGTATTTTCTGGGTTTTCCTGACCATACACAAGGAGATTAATTTTAAAAAAAATCAGCCAATCTACCACGTTGATATTATGAGTGAACTGCTTAATGGAAATATATATCAGCTTTGAAAACTAACAACAGTGTTCTTAAAACTCTTTTTGGGTACTAATTGAGTAAAACCAGAGGTGAATTTATTTGCTATGCTTAGCTTCTTCTGAGTAAATTACAGTGTTTTAAAAACTTCTCTAATCATAGTGCATTTGATTTGCTATTTTTCAACAGGTATATACCTTAGGATAGATCAGTTTGTCTTTTAAAATACTATTATTTTATTAGTAACTGATGTTGTTTTCATCAGCTGAAGGTGCTTGTGGAGGAACTCTACGTGGGACAAGTGGAATTATTTCAAGCCCTCATTTCCCTTCAGAGTATGAAAATAATGCTGATTGCACATGGACCATTTTGGCTGAACCAGGAGACACCATTGCTCTGGTCTTTACAGATTTCCAGTTAGAGGAAGGATATGATTTCTTGGAGATAAGTGGAACCGAAGCACCTTCAATATGGTAAGTTTAATGAAAGGACAATGATCCTATTCTATTTTCTTGTTTGCTGGAGAGCTGTTGCTAAGGACACGTATGGGGATGGTGTTTTGTTTGTATGTGCTGGTCACAAGCATTTCATTCTATATTTTTTCCTCAGAGTTCTTGACCATCCTGGAGTAGAAATATTTTGATTTGGGCTTTAATTGGATCACTCTACTCCAACTCCACCTTCCCCCAGAAAAGTAATTGTATTTATAGAAAGCTTTAGGCCATATGCAGGCCTAAGTATGATTAATTACCTGTGCCGGTAGGAAAATTTAAGGTGTAAGTAAAATAATGTATAATTATCTGTATCTGTTACTTTTTCTATGACAAACAATATGGGAGAACCCCAAATGACCATGCTATATTTGGTACCAGCTGTTCCTTCTCCCCTCCCTCTTCTCTCAAAAATGTTAGCCTGATTCCCTAGGAAATCGGGGTATATTTTTCAGACTTGCAAGAAAGCTGGCATCCTGTTCGTGTTCCAGATTAAATTGTATTACTCACAAGAGTACTGCAAGCACCTGCAACATTGACTTTGCTACTCAAGGTATATTGAGAGTGAGGGTGTTTTGTTTTTTTTAAAGTTATGATCATCTAATCATCTGGTCATGTATTTATGTAATTCTCCCTCCATTAGATGGTGTTAGAGCTTCTGTATCGGGTATTATTACTACACCTGTAACATTGTTTTCTTTCTAGAGAACAAAATAGAGATTGTTTTGTTCATAAAACTGTTTATAATCTATTTCAGTCAATTCATTTCAGAAGTGCCCAGGCCTTTATTAGGGTTTGAAGCATAGGTGATCTGGATCAAGCTTTGAATATCTGGAAAGTGTTTGTGTTGTGTCTTCTCTGATGTAACCTAGACAAAACAGAATGGTAGCCAGTTATAGATAGCTAATGGAGATGATCTTCAACTTGTGCTTTTGGATTTCTGATCTAACTCACTTGGTACCATAGCATTCTGACCAATCATATAATTAAGTATATTAATATCTTGTAGTTTTAGGTAGTCAGCAATCGGTTTTAGACTACTTGTTTCAAGTAAAGTGTTGCATAGTAAAGGAACTGTAAGTGGGTTTAATGACATGCCTAGATTTTTCCATTTTGTGCCTGCTCTTTAATTTTCTCACCCATCTTAGTAGCTAACATTTAGTTCCGTATTGCTTTGTGTCTTAGGGCAAAACTTAGAACTAGAAGTTAAAGGTCTTTGTTCAATCTTGCAGTACCACATAAAAACTCTGTGCGTCTATGTATGCAAAAGTCTTGGGCTGGGGTCAGCAGCATATAACTTGTAAGCTGGATCTGGGCTGTGGAGCTGGGGTCTCCAGTGAAGTTCTCATGGTGGGGCCAGGCAGCAAGGACCTGCACAGGGGCTGGCCAGCAGAGGGTTCTCTGGTACCAGGGTCAACAGCAAAAAGGTGCACTGGGGTTTCTGTGCAGAATTGTAGCCACACCACAGAATGGGGGTAGGGAGAAGCAAGATCAGGGAAGAGCTGCAGTGGCAGTGGCCAGGGTGGGACTTTTGCCTGCCTTGGACTTGAGCTGGGTTGTTCTGGCCTGTAGCTCCAAAAAGCTGCTGACCACTGATCTAGAAGGTATTTCTTGGACTAGTATTTGCACATTCATTTGTCCAAATTAGTTGATGTTGTAGTGAAAGGATGTACAGGCAACATCAAGTTTTTATGTGTGCAGACAGTTCTGTCCCCCCCAAACTTGGCCATAGTAATTTTTTTCCCATCATGCATTTCTTATTATAGTTAGAAAACAGGTGACTTTTTCTGAGCAGGAATAGGCTAAGCAGCTAATAATTAAAAATATACCCGGCACTAACATTAGTTAGTTCTGCAACTGGCTTACCTGATATGTTTGGTTTGGAAGTATTTAATATAGCATTGTCCATCTTCAAAGTGACTGGGGTCTGCAAACCCCACAGGCTGCACCAGAAGGGACCATATGCCTGTGGGCCACACCAGAGCAAGCCATGGGTGCAGCCCAGGGCACATGTAGCACAAACTGCCTCCCCACCCACCATTGCTACACCACATACCTGCACACACATATCTGCACTGTTAAGTATGGGTGAGCCCCCATCTATCCCCTGACACCCTGCACTGTGAGTCCCTAGGTTTACCTTCAGCTGTCTGTTTAATGCCATGCCACCCAATCCCCTGGGGTGGGAATAGGACACGGGAGCCAGAAGAGGGAAGGGGAGCTTGGAGACTACAGCTGTAGTTGAAACCAGGGTGGTAGGGGCAGTAGCAACCAGGGAGCCACCAGTTTGATAGCCCTGATTTAGTATACTAAAACCTGATTCATGAGCAATTTCATAGATTTAGTATACAGTTTTGGGTGCGATTGTCCGTCACCAAGAATCTTACTTCACAGTACTGTTACATCTTTATTGTCACATACATGCATATTTTATCACATATGCATACATGCTGCTGAACAGATGCCAGAACAGTAGCATATACTCTATGTAGAACAATCACAGCAAGCATAGAACAGAACTAACCAAAAGGAAATTCTCTTTGCTCAACATTAAATGAAAAGTTGGGTTTTTTTCTGAGAAATTATATCAGGAACATTAATAGGATTCTCCATCATGATCCACTGATTTGGAACAAAGTTACATACTCAGCTTTGTTTTAAGCAAGAGCAGTTACCATAACTACGCTACAGGCATATTCACTATCGTGCATGATGTTATCTACTAAACTGAATGATATATTAAATAATGAAGTTCAGCATTTAAACCTAATGGTCTAATTGTTTATCATTTGAAAATGGGATTTCCCCCGACCCCCAGTTACTCCCATTTTATCCAATCTGGATTCTTGTAATGCTCTAATATAGAATTTCTATTTCTTGGACACTTTTTTTAACATGGTCCAGTAATGATGATTGTTCTTTCAATTAAACAAATGTTTGTTGGTGGAACTAGATGAACATTTTCATAATGAAGTGCTTAGGGAGAGAGCATACATCACTACTGCTAAAGCTAAACATGGGTGGTGAGAAGAAAGATGATGATTTCTGGCTGATGATTCTTTAGTGATTTGCTTTTTCTATATAGCACAATAATTGCGTGTGACCCTTTAACTAACATATAATTAGACAAGGTTTTTAATCCTAGGTGATTACAATCTAAATTGGGCATTACATAAACAATTCAATATTTAGCTGCAAGAGTGAGAAAACAGATTCTTAGAATAATACAGGCTAGAAAAAATGGTTTGTCTTTTTATCACATTATGTAACACTACACAGGAACCTTGGGTTTACTTCAACCAATGCATACAAAAAAAATTTAAATACATACAAAAGCACCAGCCTTGTACACCCAAAGATCATACATGATGGGTAATATGGTTTAAAAAAAGTCACTGTTGTTTCATTTTGTTTGTATCCTAGGCCTCTAGTTTGTCAATGATAAAGACAAAGGGACTGTCAAAGGAGACCTGCAGTGCTTGAGGGGTTGCATGTTTCTGTGAGTTTGTCTTCCTGGTGTGGCATGTGTAGTCTCTACATATAGGTAGTGTCAAGCTGTGTTTAGCCTTACCATCTTTATGTTTATATGAATTGTGGTATTTGATGTAAATGCATTTATTATAAGTTATAAAAGGACTATGATTGCATAATGTTTTTTGTACCTGGGAGAGACATAAAGCCTGAATGGTTAAAGAGAGAGAATCACTGGAAATCAGCATTCAACATGGGTGTGCTAAATAGCCAGGCCCTTCCAATGGCAAATTTAGATACTAAAAGAAAAGACCATAAGAACAGTACCTAGCTATTCTGACCACGTGGAGGAAGGACATTTCTGACAATGGGAAAATTGAGTAAGAGGCAGTATCTTCAGGATATTGGATTAGTAATCTTCATCTCTGAAAGGATGTAAATATTCTGCTGGTTTTAATTAGAACAGGAAAGACTTCTCCTCTGGTAAACAAATATAACTTTGTGGGGACAAAGGAGATATATATCTAGTGTGGGATCTCCAAAAATCCATTGGATGATGTGTATAAATGGCCAGATAAGAAACCATGCCTAAGCTTTGCCTTGAGAATAAGTCTTTTAGTTTCCCCAGATTTAGGGGAAGCTTTAGGCCGTCAGCCAGTGGGCTGAGTATTTGGTCTAAAATAAAGGTCAGAAGGGCCTGGGAAAAGGTCAGAGGAAGGGGCTGCTATCTAACAGGTTGAGCTGGGTAAAAGCTACATTCTTGGGTTTAAAATGCAGGATTATATCAGATGATTGTCTTGATTTATTTTGGTTTATTTATTTTAATATCTCAACATGTGGTTACTGATTTAAGTTCCTTTTGTCACTATAATAAATCATTTTGTTATCTTTTATAATTTACTTATTGGCAGGGAAGGCAAGTCTGATTTCAGAGTATTTGACCATACAGGCAAGCCTCTTCCCTAGAAGCAAATCCATCTTTTGTGCATGTGCATGACTGGACAACGGTGTTATTCTTCTGGCTGGCAAAGTCACCTCTGTTGAGACCTGGCAAGAACTAGGTGAAGGAGATAAAGCCACAGACCTTTGGAGCATCTCAGTCTGTCCTCAGTAGTTAAGCAGCAAACAGCAGGGTGGTGTTTCAGGGCAGATGTGAGAATACCCCAGAAGTTCTCTGACAACCCATCTGCTGCTTTTCTCATGCACAGCATTAACAGATGCCTCCCTTCTCTCAACCTCTGTCACTCAGGCACCCCACCCCCTTTCTATATACTACCCCTTCCCCAGGGGCAGGTGCAGAAATTAGAGACCAGAGGAATGGGAAGAAGCCATGCAGCGGCTGTCAGGGTGCTCATGCCCACTTCTGGCAGAGACCCCCTAGCTGTGCAGCACCTCCTTAGACCTGGCAGCTGCACATAGTGCTGGCCCAGCCTGGCCCACCTGCCCTCAGACAGAACTGGGCCATCTCTTGCTGTCACCCAGGGTCCTAGCACTGTAGGCAGATGCTGTGT